CGCCCCCGTGGGTTGGCACCGTGGGCAGCTGCCCGGCTCGCCCATGCCTCCGTCCGGCCCTGCTTACACGGACCATCGGCCTTGGGAGAAAGCACGGGGCACAGCCGGGACCCCACCGCTCCCTGCCCCCTCTCCTCGCCCCGGGGGAAGGCTGCGAGATCGTGTGGCTGGCTTTTCCAGGGGGCCTGGGTTATATTCGCTCTTGCAGGAGAGTCTTTCCATCACGTTGCTAGGGCTGGATCCACCCCGGTGTCCCGGCAGCATCCAGCGCTGGGGTGTGGGCAGGTCATGGAGTGAGGGATGATCGACGGGGGGCAGACGGAAGGCCACAAACTGACCGTTTCTTCTGCACGACCCGCAGTGTCCTGCTTTCAGACACCTCTGAGACACACTGTCTATTGTCCGGGGGCTGGGCATAGCGCATAGCTGTCTGGGGGGGAGTCTGGGTTTCTTTTGCGTCTCCTCTAATAAAATGTCTAACCCATGAGGCTAACCGGCTCCTTTCTGGAGAGGGACACGCTGGGGCGCGGGGGTGGGGGGCAGATCGGGAAGGTGCGAGGGTGGACGGATTGTAAGTGGGAGACGAGTAAAGTAAAAGTCCTCTCGTGTCCGCACTTGGACTTGCAGGGCCCCCTGGGAATACTGGCCCAGCAGCCTCGGGTGTGCAGTGAACAGGGCAGGGCCAGGGGGATCTTCCAGTGCAGAGAACATTGTGCGGCTGCCGCGGCTCCTCACCCCCCATTCGGTGCGACGGCTTCCTCCCGCCAGGGAAGCTAAGGCTCTGCGTGCGCGAGCGAATGGTCAGAGTTAGGCTGTTCGGCACGTGCACTGAGAGCTGAAGAGCGAGGGAGGCAGAGGGGCCTAGCAGTTACAGTTGGGGCTCGGGGCCCAGCTCCGCCCACTGGGGGATCCGACATCTGAGAGCGGGTAAGACGCCGTTGGAAGCTACTTCTGACCTTCTCCCCCATCCAGCGAACAGACGGGCCCTGGTGGGACAGACTTGAGCATTCGACCCCACAAGAAAACCTTTCCTCATACAGCGAACCTTTGGAACTCACTGCCGCCGGAGCTCGCCGAGACCGACGGGGCTGGAAGGAGGAGCAGGGAGCCGTGGGGAACTAGCCCTACCACTGCGGTGCCAGATCTCAGGGTGAGAGCCCCGCCCTTGGGGGAGAGTGGGTGCTGCCTTACTGAAGCTGCTGCCCCGGTGGTCCCCAGATCTCCCCACGTCGCCATGGAAGGGGGAGGCCTGGGGCTGGCAGGGGCTGGGACCGTGCTAGCCTGAGCTTGTGTTGAGCTCCTTCTGAAATCTGAGCAGGGAGGGGCTGGGGCCAGGCACCAAACTGAGCAGATCGGGTCCCCAGCAGGGACTGGGGGAGAACCCAGGAGCGGCTCGTTCCAGGCGTGATGCTCAAGGAGCCCCTGGGGGCTGGATGCAGGAGTTACGGGGGGAGCCACGGCACATGGGAGGTCGGCCGAGATCATGGTGACCCCGTCTGAC